ATTTTGCAGGGAAGGTACCTTTTCAGGTTCATGTTTAAACAAAACTTTATTTTGCCCAAATATAGAATGTTGATTTTGTTTTTCTTATCTTTCTCACAAGTAGAAGAATATGGAACAAATTCCCATTACTATATATTAATAACCTTGAAAAAGTTTCTATTTCAAAAATGCAAAAATTGTCACTGAATGTACTTTTCAAGTAGCGGAACGCCTCCTGCAATCATGGGAGGTTTTTGAGCAAAAGTTGATCAGTTGTTTGTCTTGGTTGGTCTGAGGAGGTAGGACAAGGCTTCCAAGGTCTCTTCTAATCCCATGATTCTATGAAAAGGTTCACACTTCTGTAAAGGCACACAAACTTTGTAACTTTTTCTCTATTTAGTGTCATTGATGAAGAAAATCTAGGTTCAGCTTTTCTTGAATTAGTTGTGGATGAGACTATACAGCTAATGATGCAAAATGCATTTTAGTTAATACTCTAGTATCCTGTAATTCATGGATCAGAAGGACATTTCACTAGAAAATGACAGTGTGATCTTCAATCCATAATAACATTATTCCATAGCAAAGGTACTTAATATGTTCTGTTCATCTGCATTTTCAAAAAAACCTTCTGTCCTATAATTGAAAAGTGCTTTCCTTTGGGTTGTTTTGGTTTCACCAGCAGTACGCAGAAACCTTGTTGAGCAGGATAGCTTATTGTAAAATATTAGTGGCCATTAATTTTCATTATGGTAATAGCACATAGGGTTCAAGCTACAATTCTGACAAATTGCACAAACCAACATGCATACCCACTGATTGCAACATTAGCCAAAATTCAACTCTTGACATTCATATGCAATATTTATATGACCCACATAACAGCAGTACTAAATGACCCAGAATCTTTAATACATTTTGTTTATATTTTGGGAAACATAGCATAATTTTCAGTGCATAAATGAGACAGAGAAAGTTGGGATGCTGTTAAAAGCAAAAATTACATTTGCTATGAGTCTTAGCAAAATTTACAATATTTATATTACTTTGCTTTTAAAAGTTTAGCATAAACTATTTATCATGTGATTAGGTATAAAATAGTAAGAGTTGCCTGTTTCTCTTCTAAGCCCAAAAGACAGGTCACAGGAACAGCCAATGGTCATGGCCAGAATGAGGTGCTGCTGACCATAGCCCCTCATTGCCAAAACTTACATTCTTTGCAGCAGTCAAGAAGTGGACAATTGATTTCACCCAAAACTAAGATTGTCACAGAGGCTTCTTTAGACAGATTTATTGATTAGGTTACAGAAATCTCAACAATGGGATTATTTTCAAATTCAAAAGCTATTTTGTCTCCCAGCCTGCTAAAGTGGGGATTTTTTTCTGTGCTTAACCAGAATGTCTGTGTGAACTAAAGGGGCATTTTTGGCTGATAAAAGAGGAATGTATAAATGTTAAAAATAGAAATCTTTATCAAGCAATGAACCTAGTTACTTAATTATTGATTGGTCTTTTCTATTTTATCTTTCTTCAACTTCCAAACAATATATTGTGTGCAGAATAGAGAATGCAGATTGAAGTAAGAAACAACTTTCCCAATGGTCTTGATAACCTTTGTCATATTTATGGAAGAGTGCTAAGCCAATGATCAAAAACCGGGTTGTCTATGTAGGAGAGAGGTATAGGATAAAGCAGGAATAACAGATTACTAGATATGTATTTAATCAGAGTTCTCCAAACTGGTCAATACTGACCTCTAAGGGTTAATGGAAGCATTTATTATTATGGTCATGGGCTATAATTCAGATTTAGAAACTGATTCATAATATCGCTCCAACTGGACCTATGGATTGTCAGCCTCAGAATTCATCAAGCCATGATTCATCTGGGCTGGTGCTGATTAACCACAGGCATCTCCTGATCAATTGAAGGATGAGGCCTGGCTCCCAAGTCCCAGGTCTCAAAGTTTGTAGCAGTAAGCAAAGCAACGTCTATGAAGTTCATCATTAGGTAAAGTGTAATGGAATGTATCAATTATCTTGAAGAAAGGAGGAACAAGATTCTGTCTAGGAAACAATTAGACAATAGTGTAGAAAGTTAGAACCCAGCCCTCTCCTAGAAGAATGAAATATCCTAGGAAATATTAAAATGGCAGAATATTATATTTTCCTGGATATGAAAAGAGATAAACATGTTTTAAAGACAAAAGTAGCTCCCTGCAGTTTCCTGCCCATCCCCCTTTGTCAATGGGCCATTAAGATTCCCAAACCAGTCTATTCTACATAAGTTTTCCCCTTCAGCTCCAGGGTGATGGGATTAAGGCATGATAATATTAGCCCTTTACCCAACTCACTACATGACATCTGAGAATTCAATCAAACTTGGGATTCAAAACACAGCCTAGAGAGTTGACCCTGCATGGCCCCATGGGAGTCTGACAGCCAATCAGAATACATTTCTTCCACAGGAACAGGAAACAGAGGTGGGGTTGAACAGTTTATAAAAAGCCCAGTAAGCCCCTTTCTCACTCTCTCTTTGGCTCTCTTCTTCTTCACCCAACAGTGAAGCATGTGATCACCTTTTCTGTTCAGGACTCAAGCCATGTGGTCCTGACTCCTGTCCACCATTAAACCATCTTTCCAAGCAGCCTCCATGTCTCCAGTGTCTTTTTCCCCACTTGGAGCTGAACCCAGGGCATTTCTTTCAACAATAGGAGTAAGAGAAACTGCAGACAATCAGGGAAAGAAAGACTCACCCTAATGGATCAAACAGTTAAAAATGGAGTCAGGAAGTTTTGTGTCTTGAGACTTGCAAGATTCTGTTAATGTATCCTTACAATAAAATAGAATTAGTTCATCTTGTCTTGTTTCCTATTTGGTTTATTTGGGAGGGCTGACACAAAGAGTGAAGCCCGAATATTTAAGCCAGATGCCTACAGATTGATTTATGGAACCATTTTGCCTTCAGCTTTAGTTGGAGTTTGGCTATCAAGGCACCACAATTTATACTGGCAGAGTCATTTGTGGGATGGGCAGCCATAAAATAAATAATGCATAGATAATAAATATAATATATTAAAATTATAGTATCTATATAAATATGAATGGAGCTTTGAGGAAGAGCTTTTTCTTATAAATAAGGTCTCCAAATTTCCAACTAACATCAGATCCTACAAAATCCTGACTTGAACACAAGCACTCTTCTGTACATACCAATATTTATATCTGCAAGAGCATTGCAGAGAATTTTAGTGACTCAAGTTGTATATTTGTATTAAATCCAACAAGTGTTCCTTATCATCTTCTGCTCCAGAATAGTGATTGTCAGAATGTCTTCTGTAAATAGGTCTTTAGATTCACCCATGTACACTTGTTTTTCCCCCCTTTGTTTTTCCCCCCTTTGATGCTATGAATTATGTTATGTCTAATTAGCTGTTATTTGAAAGGATTTATTCCCCTTTCTTTCTTGATGTAAGATTTTCCAGACTTTACAAAACTTTTGCTTAATAATGTAATTTTACCATAATGATATATGCCTTAAAGACATTGAAAACATTGCACACCCTCGACTAGTTTTCTTATTACAGTATAATATAGATAGATGTGTTTCTAGCTGCAGTAATTACTTTAATTTCATTGAAACATAAGACTGTTGAGTAATCGGCTATTACTAATGTAATTACTCCAACAAAAATGGTTCACAAAGAGACAGTGTTAGAGTTGTTCCTACATTGTACTAATTTAATAGTGAGTCACGTTTATATCTGAAGTGGATAATACAGGATAACAAAAATCCACATTATAATTAAGATGTATGAAAAGCATTTTTTTAGATGTGCTATTGAGCTTTCCAAAATAAATCTGCATCTCTGTGTCATTTTAATGTCATTATTGGTTGTATTACACTGCCTCCTGAAAATCAAGGCATATATTTGTCTTAATCGAACACTAAAGATGCATTTTTCACATTTAAGAATAATATTTAAGCAGGTAAACATCAATTTCATAAGCAGGGAATGTGCAGTATACAAGATCCTCTAGATTTGATTTTCTAGTTTCATAGCTATTTTTTAAAAATGTTTTTGAGTTGAATTCTCATTGATGACACTTTGGTGCATTTTTAATGAAATGCATTTATGCAGTTCTTTCATTTGGCATCATATACAATGAAGTAGAAAATAGATTCAGCTTTTATAGAAAAAACTGGATGAGGTTGATTTTTTCCTATAATAGATCCTTTGCAAATCTATTTGCTTCTAACTAGATTTTAACTAGAATTTCCATCAATGATCGATGCATGTTTCATTGTCATGCTGCAAGCCACTACCGAAAGTCTTCATATCATAAGGTATAAGGAAGAAATAAGAATATTTTGCCACTTTTATCACCAGATTGTAGATTTGAATATGAGCTCATATACTCATGTTCAGTCTTTGATTTCTGGTCTTTCTTTAATGGTACCCTAGGTATTGTTTCTGCCACATCATGTTCCAGAAACCTAAAGAACCTAGGTCCTTGCTCACTGAATTGGAGTGTCTTGAATGTCATGCCTCAAGTCTTCAGTTTTATGTGGTACACATATGTTGCACAATACAAATAATCTTGTTAAGCATATTTATTAGTTGAAATGTATACCATTGTTACAAAACTAGTAAATAAAGCAAATGGAAAACAGTTCCTTTCATTCTAACAATTGAACATTAAAACAGGGACTTTGCAATTCTTCACTTTTATTTCATCTTTAGTCAGACACTGAGTACTGAACAAGGGGAGTAAAGTAAGAGTAAAGAAATTTTATATGACACATACAGACCATATTAGGAATTCATTTAAAGAATAATTTAAATATAGAATAATCCAGCTGAACTTTTTATTGCTCTGCTAATTTGGAACAAAATAATTATCAATTAGATAATATAAAAGCAGGAGAAATAGAATTAGAAAATAAACTGTGTTACTGTATATATTTTATCAAAATTAAAATAATTTCAAGCACTATTTTAGCACTGCAAGTAAAACACATTATTCTATTTTCAGTCCTTTGGATTTAAATTCAGAATGAAGAATCTGTGATAAGCATCTCCCAAATTCTTCTAGGATCATTTGTTCAGCTAAGCAAATGGAGTAATCTTGTTTTTCTGCCTCTTCAGCTTGAGCAAGAAGACAGGCACATGTTGCCTCAACCACCTCCCAAGATATACACGTACTAGATTGTCTATTACAACAAAACAATATATAATTACATTTTAAATATATAAATTGATGCAAAGAGAATTACTATACATAACCACCAAATTCTAAATTTACTCATGGCTTAACTAACTGTTCTGTGACAGATTTGTATTTCAACACTGACTGATCCCTGAATAGATGTTAAGTGACAGAAGAAATCAGTCTGAGAGACACAAACATTTTTTTTCAATTTGCAGCTTTCTTTCTGCAACCAATCTCCTTTTATACAGGTAGATGGAATCTTTCAGGAAAAAGATAGGGACATGGTTGTCTGCAGGGATGACAATAGTTGAAATATGAGCCATGTTACAATGCAATCTCTGCATACTTGCATGCAGTGTTTTGACAGAAGACAGACAAAAACTTAATTCAATGAATGATCAGATTGGGACAGGTGTATGAAAGGGGGAATTTTGAATTATGCATATCTTGTATTTTTGGCATTTACTTGTCTACCTATGGGTATTGAATGCACAGGGAACAATTGATGAATTAAGCTCCCTGCTGTTACCCATCACTTCTTGCACCTTTAATGCCGTTTTTCAATATTTTAGTTCATTCTTTCAGAACTCAACTAATGCCAAATGTTAATTTCAGTCTTTAGTCAGACAATATCAATTAGTAATAAAGGTACTTTTAAAAATACCAAACTAGGGCAATCTTTTCCCACAGAAATAGGTAGGTTTCATAGTTATTTCTGAAATACTTATATTCTTGAAGTAACTACAGAGAAAATAGTAAATTCTTTAAAGATTACTGAAGCTTTCCCTTATTTACTAGTTTTTGAGTGGCTTTATTCAATTTTTAAAAATCTAAATTATGGAGGTTTTCAGGATATTTCCATGTTTTTTGTTTTCATCCATATTGTAATTCAGTATAAACAGGATAATGATAAATTCTGAAAGTTCTGAAATTGTAGTTGTATAATACACAAAACATATGCATTGTACATGTGTTCGAAAGTACATATGTAACAAATTACTGAGTCTGGTTTGGATAACTACAAATGAAAAGAACAAAGGTTGGAAGTCCAGACTCAAAGTTTCAAAGTTTAATAGCATTTGTATGCCGCTCAATCCCGTGGGACTCCGGGCGGCTAACAATACAAATAAAAAAGAATAGAAGGAAAGAAAAGATAGATTTAAAAACACACCATGCACTCCATTCCAAGTGGGGCTGGACCATATTTTGGGGTCAACAGCCCCAGGCCTGCCGGAACAGCCAGGTTTTAGTGGCCTTACGGAAGGCCAAGAGAGTGGGAAGGGTCCGGATCTCTGCAGGGAGATCATTCCACAGGGCCGGAGCAGCTACAGAGAAAGACCCCCCCCCCCCGAGTAGTTGCCAACCGGCATTGCCCGGTCGACGGTACCCGGAGGAGGCCCAATCTGTGTGATCTTATAGGTCGTTGGGAGGTATGTGGCAGGAGGCGGTCCCGTAGGTATCCAGGTCCTAAGCCATGTAAGGCTTTAAAGGTAACGACCAGCACCATTATCCAAAAATTTTCCCATAGTACAAAAGAAATGTCTTAGAAAAATATTGCATAAGTAATTAATTTCTACCTTTCTTTCTTGGTTTTTGATAATATTTCAGAGTTAGAAAATGATTCAGAATCATTTTCTTCATTAGTTTTAAATTCCATTTGAAGTGGCATATTCATTAATGTTTTTCGATCAGGGCTTTCTTCATAATTTTTGCATCCAATACATTTGCAGATAGATGAGCACATAATTTTAGCCTACAGAAAAACAAAATATTTTAATTCTTAAAAATACATGTTATTTAATAAAGGTCCACAATAAAAAAACCCAATGAGATTGGATGTTCAACAATTCAATCATACAGCTGCTTCACTGGAAATAAATCTCCTGAGTCCAGTAATTTTCCATTGAACAAATATTGTTTTATCCAGAGAACGCTTAAATATTTTAAAATGAGAGGAATTTGCCTAATCCCAGTCCAATTTTCATTTGCCCTACTATTCTGGGAGGTTGAAAACCTCTTTAAAGTTTTTAGGGTTCAAACTGTTAGGAAGATAAGGGACGTATTGAAAAGAAAAAGCTCACTTCCTGTTCTGTAAATGAAAACTTTCTGTGTCATTTAGGATCTAAAACTATATATTTATTTTAAATCTTTATTTACAGCTTTTCTAAATCGATGAAGTCATACATAGCAAACAGCACCATTGATATCTAAAAAGAAAGTATAGACCAGATTAGGTAAGTTTGATTCCTGGTAATTTCGTAGATGTATATTAGAGCTATGTAGTATTTTGGATTTTATCTCTAAAAGTGGTTCAGAGTAGGAACATGAATGTAGCAACAGTCTGCAAAATATAAAGCAGTTCAAGCAACTTAAAGTGCAGTCCTGTTAGGATGTTGTATATTGTTGCTTCATTCATACACTGTTGCACTTTAAAATATTAAGAATCAAACCAGAGCATTGCACAGTCCTAATATCTTGTTATCTTCCTGGTTACAATGTAAAGGTGATTTGCCATTATCTTTTTCTGGGAATTTTTTCAGATTTCCCCATTTTGGGATTTCTTGGTGGCCTCCTATCCACGTATTAAAAAGATCTGACCACCTCCTAGTTTTTATGGATCAAAAAAATTGGCTAGTTACTGCCATTCAGCATGCCATAGGTAGGCATTTGTCTTTGTCCTGTTGTTTTCTTATTTGTCATTCACTCGTCCCTTTTTAAAATTTAAAAACCATTTTTTCCACAATTGCTTACTCCAGTTTTCCCTGATCACATACCCTGGAGGTTCCCCCAAATAAAGACTCTTAATGCTTCTGCTATGATAATACTTTTATAAAACTGATGAAAATATTTTCAACAAACCTCAAAGCATTCACAGTAATTTTTTAGGCACCCTGAACGCTTACAGTTACAACCTTTATTATGCCTTGGTTTAATATCGCCAAGTTTTCCTTTTCCAATCTTTGGCAGGAAAGCTTCTGGATTTCTGTCAAGACAAGCCTAAATAAAACATATTATTCATATAGAATATATCTCTCAAGCAGTTGGAAAAAAAAGTTTACTTGCTTCCTAAAAGCAAACCTTTCCTGAAGTAGATTATGGTTCACTCTTTTCAAGAGACAGAAATTTCTAAGCATGCTAATGTTCCTATGAAATAGAATTATATAAGGCAAAGTGTATATCAGGCAGAATTTCACTGTCAAATTATCTAAAGCACTGGTGTATATTTTATTAGTACATCAAGAATCCTTGATCTGAACCATTAGTCCTAAAAGAATTTGTGCATGTTTCACATGTTCAAAGAAACCCTAACAAGAACAAAAAATCAGGAATCTGATACCATGTTTTCCTACCAGAAAAGTTGATTAAAAAACTTAAGTTTTTGTGAGCTGCAGCTCACTTCATCATATCTGATGAAGTAACTTGCAGTCCTGATGTATCTAACAACAATAAGCTAACTGTTGGATGAAGACTTTTGGGAGTAGAAAAATTTTAAGATAGCTCACTTTGAATTCAGATCAGCACCAGCTGTCTGCATCTATAAATCCATTGAACACTAGGTAATAGATGAAGAGACAGTTTTAGAGTTGCTATGCACTTTTATCATCTTGTAAAAAAGACTTACTTAGAATGCTTCTATATAATATGTATCCTATTGGTTGGATTGATTTTTTTTCATCACTTCCTTCCTGTCTCAGTTCAGTTCCTTTTTTTTCCTTACCAAAGTGTTGTTTCTTTATAAGGGGAGAGTACTCTATCATTATAGACTATTAACATTCAATCATGTCTGATTCTAGAAACTGCTTGGACAAATCCTTGCAATTTTCTTGGTAAGGTTTTTCAGAAATGCCATTGCCTGAAGAGAAATCCAGATGCCATAGGAAAAATACATCTTGTTTAGGAATTGCAAACAATTATTTTCCTATCCCTGTATGCTCCAAAGCATGGTTCTTTTTGCCTTTGTATCCAAATTATTGCTCAAATCTGTTAATTGTAGTACCATTCCTATTATTTCCTGCATCTTCCAGTAAAGTTGAATTGAGAACCAACATGCTAATCATCTGTGGTGAGATGAAATTGCATCAAAGTGACTGAACAGAGATATGTTTTTAACATAATTTCTCTTTCCCTAATTCAAGTGATATGTAAAAAATGAGATGGTGTTAAGATATCACTACAGGTAGTCCTCAAGTTATGAAGACGACTGAGCCCAAAATTTACATTGCTAAATGAATGGTTTTGCCTCATTTTATTATAATTCTTGCCACAGTTGCTAAGGGAATCACTGCAGTTGTTAAGTTAGCAATATAGTTGAATCTAGCTTCTCCATTGACTTTGCTTGTTAGAAGGTTGCAAAAGGGGATAACATGACCCCGGGACACTGCAACCATCATAAATATGAGTCAATTGCCAAGCATCTGAATTTTGATTATGTGACCATGGGGATGCTGTAATGGTCATAAGTGTGAAAAATTGTCATAAGTCACTTTTTAAAGTGCTATTGTAACTTTGAACAATCACTAAATGAGTTGTTGTAAGTCGAGGACTACCTGTATTTCAAAAGGCTGTTTTAATTAATATGTTTACTCAATTTGATATCCTGAATTGTTGGAATATGTAAATGCAATTCATTCAAAATGTTTTAAAAATAACACCTTATGAATATAAAGTAAATAATTTTCATATCAAAATAAAAAGAGAACATAGTTGAATTACCTTAATAGCCTTAAACCGTTCTATTTCATGCTCTGGATTGTTATAACAATTATTACAGTTGCAATTACTACAGAAATCACCATTGGCAAAACAATCGCAGTATCTATGTTTAACAAAATAAGTACATTAAATTGTTTGCAGTTCAACATTTTCAGATAATGCTCACTCTTATCTATTATTTTTATTTAATTTATTTATTTAAATTTCCTGTATGGCCATTTGTTTTAACATCACAACTCTGGGCAGTTCATGATCCATAGTAAAATCCATCAAACAGTAAAACTAAAATACAAAAAAGAAAAAAAAAACTTAAGCCAACAGCCCCTAACTGATCCACAACTTCAATTACTGGGCTACAGCCTCACTTTACCCCCAATGCCTGAAGGAACAGCCAGGTTTTCAATCCCCTCTTAAAGCCTAGGAGAATGGAGGCTTTACCAGATCCCGGGGTGCTGCAGAAAAGGCTTGTTGCCTAAGCCCCACTAGGGAAAGAACTTGGACTAAATCCACTCTACTAGACTGAGAAACAAGTAAATTAAACTACCATATATGAATATCTATTAGTTTTATCCTTTATATATTTTGCCAGATTTGTGGGTACTTTGAAGACTGTTAACAAATGGACTTCGAGAAAATCAGTCGTACTAAAAGGCTAAAAATCAAGTACTCTGAAAGAATATCCAATGCTGAAATCCACCGAAAATGTGAGATCAATGAAAATGTATCTGCCATTATAGAACTTAGACGCTGGCGCTGGCTAGGCCATACATTGAGAATGCCAGATAATCGAATCCCAAAAATTTCCCTGCTTGCAGAGCCTGGCAACTCTGCGCATAGGCACACTGGG